CCCCGGAGCACTCTGGTGCCACCCACCACCACCACCATCCAGCACACGGTGAGCTTCAGGGTCCATCAGGCCCCCCGCCCTTTGCACGTCCCCCTCACCCCACTGCCTCTGCAGATGCTGCGGAAGGAGCCGCTGGTCGTCACGCGGACGGAGGCAGTGTGGCACCCACCGGCCTGGTTCGTGGCCGTGATGACCATCTCCGGTGCCCTGCTGGTGGCTGCCCTGGGGTGTGTAGCCTGGAGCCTGCTGTGCAGGTGAGCTCCAGCCCCACAGTATGGCACAGCATGGTATGGCCCGGCACAGCAAGCGAGGCCGGGGCTCACAGCTGCCTTCTGCTCCTCCTGCAGCAACCGAGATACTGGCAAGCTGCTCCTGGGCAAGAGGTGGGTGTTGAACGGTCGGCAGCAAGAGGCAGCTGTGCATGTTGGCACAGGCTCCCACAACGTCTTTGCAGGCAACTGGGGATACTCAGGATGTGGAGGGGGTGTTTAACATGCCCTATGTTTGGCTGTGGGTCACTGCGCTGGGGAGCCATCTCTGCCCCAGGGTGAGGGCGCAGCACTGATGGGAGCCATGGGTACAGAGATGGTGATTTGGCTGGGGAACAGCCATATTGGTGGCGGATGGCACAGTGCTGGCATTGCTGCCTGCCGCAGGGCTGGGTCCTGATGCCAGGGCTGGGGCCACTGCGGCTCATCAGGGGAGCCCCGATTTGCCAGGGAAGGCACCCCGGGAGGAGGTGAGCAGGCTGCGCACCCCCCGGGAACATGAAGCAGGGGTGAGAGATGGCGCAAGGGAGATCCTGAGGAAGCACTGGAGCTGACCCAGCCTGCGCTGGGCATCTGCGCCGCAAGGAGGAGGTGTGCAAGACTGCGGGTAGGATAACAGCCATCTCTGGCAATGTAACCACCCCAGGGTGGCACAGAGCTGGATCCACGTTCATTGGTGAGATTGGGGACATAGTGCTTGATGGTACTACGGCTGTAGCGTCCATGAAAGGGAGAAGGCTCGGGTTCAGCCCTCATGGGCAGCACTGGCAGCAGGGGGGCTCCAAGACTGCAGCTCCGCTAGCACAGCATCCTCTGAGCACAACAACGGTGTGCACTGGCACGTGAAGGAACAAGCCAGCATGCTGACAGACTAGCTTGCCGCTCTTGGGCATCACTGAAACATGTTGGTGCTTGGGGAAGCATAGCCCCCACTGTAGTCGCCTTTGGCACCCAGGGCTGTGCCAGGGACATATGGACTGGTGAAGGAGACAGTCAGGTAGGTGGAAATCAGCCAGGCAACAAGCTCGACGGGGCACAGCCAGCGGTGCAAAGCCTGACTGGTGACCTGCTCCTGGCAGCATCCCTCTCGGGGTGGAGGCTGGGGGCTCGTCACCAACGGTGTACCCTCCCCTCTCCCCTTCACAGCTCCTGGGATTTGGCAGAGCAGAGGGTAGGCAAAGAGGAGCGAGGCCACCCCCACACTGGCAGCCCAGTAAGTGTGTGCCATGGTGGCGAGGGCGGACACCCTGCCAGGGGCGTGGGCGGGCACCCTGGGGCCCTCAGAACCCTCTCCTATCTCTCCTCCGCACAGGGGCAGTTCGATGGCCGTGCCCAGGACCCCCGTGAGTGCCCTGTCCCATGGCCCCTGCAGCCTCAGGCTGTGTCCCATCCGACAGAGGGAACGGGGTAACGGGAGAGATGGGCCCTGGGCAGCAACGCCCAGGCAGCACCCACGGGGCGAGGGCTGAGTGCTGCCTCTCATCTCAGGGACCGGCAGGGACTATCTCTTCAACAGCGTGACTGGGGCACGACGCTGGATCTGAGCAGCTTAGGCTGGCCAGGGACTTCCCACGTCCCACAGCTCCCCACAGGCTGCGCTGGGCAGAGCACCAGGCACTGGCAGACACCTGGCGCGGCCCTTGGGCTTAGGAAGGGGAGGGGATCCCTCCTCCATGGCCGAACTTCCGAACTTGCTGCCCACAGGGTGCA